TTGTTATAATTTTATTTAACTCAAGTAATTATAATAATTTATGAAATAATACGTTAAATATTGTATTCAAATTTTATATAATTTGTTATTTTTAAATTTTAAATGTGTATTTTTCTAATGTGTTAGTTATGCTAGAATATGTAATAAAATATATTAATTACGGCTATTCTTCCAAAAACGTTTGTGCTCCGATTTAGGTGAAACTTTGTGAATAGGTTCATTTTAGATAAAAAAGATATATACCAAAAAGATTTCAAAAGTTAAGTAACTTTTTAAATATTTTTGGTATATGTCTTTTTTATTTATTTAAAAAGAATCTATTTACAAAGTTTGACTTAAATTAGAGCACGGATATTTTTGGAAGTTTTGCCTTAATTACTAAAGAAAAACACTAATGTTTGTGACATTTACCTCTGCTGATCTTCTTGATTTTCAGAAACTCGCTCATGTCTATCATTGTGAAAACTTGTGGACGCATCATTTTCTGTAGTTACAGGTTGTTGTATTGTTGCATCTACGTTATAATGACCAGTTCCTCCATCCGACTCGGAGTGCTCGTTTATATTAGGACACTCAGCCTGATGAATTGTTAATATCTGTGTTAAATTGTGCATTCTTCCATCAAATGTCTCAATAAACCAACTGCAATGTTTGCAGTTTGTTTTAAAATTTTCCGTGTCGACTGTGAAGTGTTGCGATAGTCCGCTACACCTATTAATTTCTTCTCGTGTTTTATCAAGCGCTTTTATATGTCTATCCAGATGGCTGTCTAAATGACTCTTATAATATACACGAACACCTTTTCCACAAATTATGCAATTCGGAGTATACTTCTGTTCGAGACGTTCGTGTGTGAAATATCGCCATGGCGAGTCATTGGTTTCGGCTTTCCATATAAAGTTGCCTTCCGTAGTAAATGTATTATGGGAATGAAACAAGTGTGCTTCTACATATAGTTCACCTCTCTTTTTAAAGACTTGTTTACAATTATCGCACTGTATATCACTGCAATTGGGTAAAGTACTGCACTCTTCCCAAATGTTCTTAATATGACGTATTTGAGCTGCCATTATATCCGCACTATATCACGGAGAATGTCTTACTAAATGTGACATGTACTGACTACGCCAAGGAAAATATTCGAAACGTTGAAGATTGAAGAGAAACATGCGAATCTTTCCTAAATGTAAATCTTGTAAACACAACATCAGCTATTTTGTTGTTTGACTCGGACGCGGCTATCTTTACGTGGGAAGGTATTTCTTATTTATTATGGTACCGTGTGTATGTACTGCATAGTATTATATATAGTATGATAAATAACGTGTAATTTAAATCTTGGTAATTTTAAGCCGTGTCGCTCTATTTCTAATTATTCGACCCCCGTTCAACGTTTAGATTGAGATTCATGTCTTATGCATTTTTGATAAACTGAAATGATATTATAGTACCAGATTAAATAAAATTAAGTTGTTATACATATAACACTACTACATATAATTTTGTAACCAACTTTGCTTGCCAAATAAATACTTAATGATGACTTGATAGTAACAATTAGAAGATAAATAGAAGATCATATGTATCCTCTTCTAAAAAGGAGATGTGAAGTTTATTGTTGCCGCTTTTCCGCGATGCCGATTGGTTCTCTTGCTGCGCTTACTTCATTTGCAGCTGTCATTGTATATTTTGACAGTTGTGTATAATAGGGTTAATAGTGAAATGTTAAAGATAAATAGCGCGCGCGTAGCGCGCGTCTGTAGTGTCTAGTAGAAATAAATCTGCCATATGATAAAATGGGTATTCAATAACGTAATTAGACTCGTAAAAGTGTCAATAATTTAAAATCGGCAAATGCGTCTTACTCAGCAGAGGTATTTAGACTTTTGCTTTTTTTTTAATAAAATGATAAATTTTTGTTTAGTTGATATTTGTTCAATTTTCTACGATTTTACTTATTTTTTTATATATAGTGTAGAAAAGAATAAGTTTAAATTAAATTATTTTAAGTTGTTCTAAGTTTTTACGAATTGTTCCAAATTTTTACTTCAATTTTTTAATGTAAATTTTTTTTGCTATATAAATTTTAGAGTTACAGCAAAAAGAATGAATAAATTGCATAATTTTATTTCACATAAACTTCAATTAAAATCAATCGTTAAAAGTATTTTGATGTGCTGAGAAAAAGAGAAACTGAAATAAAGATTATTTTAAAAAACATATTTTTGAATGCACGACATAATTGTTTGGTCTCGCTCTTTCGCTCTCTAGCTTTCTTTCTTTTTCTATCTATCCATCTCTTTTTCTCTATCAGTCTTTTTTGTTTTTATATTTATGTATGTAGTATTTAAATCTTGCGCTTTATATGATCAGTTTAATTTTGTAACTATGCTTTACTGATACTTGTAGTACAATCTTGATTCAGTGAATTTGATTCAGTGATTGAAAAAAAGTCAACTTGATAATATATCTCAAGAGGACTTTATTAATGTCACAGTAAAAGTAAAGTATTTTTAAAACAAAATACTCATACAAAAAGTATAAAATCGAATATTTGTACATTGATCTAGCGCTTAGAAGTAAGTAAAGTAATACAATGTAACGCGATACATTCGATACACATGTTAATACACAAAACGTAACTTTAAAGATTGTTAACATAAAATAAACTCCACGCATTCTAAGAGATCAAGTTTCACGTCTTTCCTACTTAATTCTTCTCTCATAATTTGCAATACAGTTTCTATACACTAACGAGATTCTAAAATTCTATGTAACATGGCTAGTATCACAATTCTAACTTCTCATCTCTGCAATAAAATATAATATGCAGTTTTACACAAAAACGGAAAATGTAGTTTGCTCAACTCTACTATAATTGACAAAATGAATTATTGGTAGTGCTGATCTTAAGAGAGAAGCGTGATGACATTTACCTATATACAAATAAAAATATGTACCGTAGGTATGAACATAACGCCGCAATTTAAATACATTGATGAAATATTTTATAAAATACAAATGTTTAGCGGATGGTTATATGTTATGTTAGAGTCTCACGCCTGTTACAATAATAACCTAATTCATTAAGCGCGTCAAAATATGTCTAATGATGGGATTAAGTACAGTTTTTCTAAAAATAATATTAATTATAGAAAATACCGCTCTATATCGATGCAATTATACACGAGCATAACTAGTAGCTGTACAATGAGCAGGGTCTGTAATCGAAAGTCATCTAATATTTATACAAAATAATATAAATTATATATATATATTTCGGTACTTCATCGAATGTCATCTAAAAAGTTATTAATACTGTTTTTCTTAATATACTGTATATTTAATTTTATACCTAATTTTCCGACACATGGCTAAATAGAAATTTATTCATGTAATTGCATATATCTATAAGAAATGAGCATTGCTTAATTTTCGGTGTTGCATTCCTATGACTGCACGCATCGCAAATCACTTAAATTGTAATACAACGCGGTTATAGAAAATACAAACATTTTGGATTTTTGTGAACACTTTTGGATACGGTAATTGATTGATTCATCACGAAGAGGACGACACTATTTCTTCATCGGAGAGGATATCAACATTTGATGAAACCGGCAAACCTTTTAATTGTTTTCACTACACGGACCAACTCAAGTGGTTTTGTTAGTTGGTCGGAAACGCGACATGTAAAAATCGCAATCCGAGCAATACAGCGTTGGCTCAAATACATTTCTCTTCCGACAGAGATTGCAGGGTGTAACGTGTGCTTTCACGGTAGTCGCGATGCCTGTTGGCGTTTGCAAAGATGACTGCATCACCATCAGAACGACCTTCGCAGTGGACATCGCGAAGTGCATCTGTTTGGAAAGCGGAGGATGTTGATAGGCCGGATATTTCACATTTGGCTGCATCTGGCCGTTCTGCAGAGTCTTGGGATACGTTTGATTAGACACCATGAAACCTTGTTGCTCTACCTTCTGAGATGATAATTGTCGCTGGTAATTGTCATGTCTCTACTGATAGTTCTGCGCGTTTTGTTGCTGCTGCTGTTGCTGCTGTTGATAGGCTAGTGAATTAGACGGTGGCTGATACTGCGGCAATGGTTGGCCCGCTCTGCTTTGCGGAAGAACAGTTTGATAGGAATGACCCCGCTTGTTTCTTTTTATTCGAATCGTCAGTTAAGATCTGCTCCCTTTTGTTTGCAACTGCGCCAACAGGCTGCCAATTTGCTGCGCTTCGAATTGCTGTGGACGTTGTTGTTGCGGTTTAACGGAAGCTTGATGTTGTTGAGTCTCTTGAAGACGAGTCGGCTCATCGATCGTTGGCGGCGGCGGTGGGAAATCCTCACTGGTTTGTCTTGAATGCGACACCGAATGGATTTATGAATACGGCGGTGGTGGAAACTCCTCGCTCGGTTGCCGCGAATGTAAAATATTGCCATTTTCGGGATAAGGTGGTAAGGAATCCAGCTGAAATTGTTGTTTAGGCGGACTCTGCTCATTGTGCACGTCTGCGCGAGTGACAACGAAAGTCGGCTCGTAGAGTATACCGTTAGCGTATTGTATGACATCATCTTGAATCCTAGGCTTGTTGTTGTAATTTATTTGACATGCTCCAGAAATATTGATATTCTGTTCATTGTAAAACGGTAGAAAAGAAAGCGAATGCGATTCCGAGGAGTAATTAGCATAATCTGAGTTCCTGTTCGTCACGTTAGTCGAATTGTTCGTGTTCATGTGATTCCAATAAACGCTGTTTTGTTCCTGCGACGAATTCGGCACGCACCGATTATCCGGCAAAGGGTATGCAGGTTTGTCCGATTGCTGCTCATTGTGCACTTCGCCCGAACACTTAGACTTGCTAAGCTGAGAAGTGGTCCTGAGCGGAGGGGGCGGAGGCACTTTTGCCACGTGTAACACTTGGCCGGCGCTGCCGTGGAAGCT